ACTGAGATTACATATTAAAAATCTAGTCTAAAAAATAAAAAATGAGTAAAATTTTAAAACAATTAAGAAAAAAGCAAAAGGCTAAAACTATGTACTATAAAAGATTAATACTTTACCTGCAGATCCTCACATAGAAAGATAGATTCTTGAAAACTAATTCGGTAAGTCTTTAAGGCTTTTAACTTTCCCTTCTCTCTACAAGCAGGGCAATACCCATCTGATGGAACTTTAGCTGAATCGTAATTCTAAAAGATAAATAAAGCAAATTAAAATATAGACATTCTTAGAACATATCAAAATATTAAAAGTTAAATGGAAAGGTAACCAGAAAAAATTATAATTTTCAATTATAAGCATCCTGGCAAGATATTTTAAACATGGCAAATAAAAGAAATGCATATAAGCCTTTAAATACAGCTATTATTCCAAAAAGAATTATGTTATAGTTTTAAATATTAAATTTTAATTGTTAAGAACAGCATCAATTTTATTTGCAAGAAAAAAAGTAACATCAACTGCCAGGGAGAACTTACGTTCCATATTTTCAAAGAGCAGTAAATCATAAGGTCTATGTTTTATTTCTATTTTCATATATCAATAAAAGACAGAGAGGTAAAACACATTAAAACAATCTTTCGCCATTACTGTAAGATTTCCGTGGAAGATACAATTTTTTAGAAGTTAATTGGTAACATCAAAACTGAATTTAAGTCTCAGAAATAGAGAAAAAAAACTTTGCACTCAGGCAAAAAATAAGTGCACTAACTTTTCCCAAATACCCCACCATGTGGAGTGAAGATACCCCTATATCAGCCCCTGGTCCAATCACTGGCAAACCATTTCCAATCTTCGGGGAATCCATCATTCCGAGTCATTGGCTAATTTATGTCACTTGAAACATGTCAATATCACTAAGGATTTTTTTCAATGAACCCTGGAAAAAAGAAGTTAATAGACAATTAAATAAAAATTCTATTTACTATAAAAAAGAACCATGCTATTTTATAAGATGTATATGTTAAGTAGGTTTTGAGGGCTACATATCCTAGAATAAACATATTCTAAAAGTATAATCTTGATGTGAAAATGATACCTGTATTTACAAACCTAGCAAGTTTGTGGACAGAGGGTAGTGACTGGCAACAGGACCAGTTTTCATAGCAGACTCATTTGTGAACAAATTAAATAAAACTTGTAGTAGAGGTAGCCACTATTTAAAGCAAACTACATCGACCAGAATTTGAAAACCTCACTTTTTAGAGTCTATGTACAATTTGAAACAAATATGCCAGCATTACACTGAGAAAGTACTTAAAAAACCCCAGATCCATTGTGCCATTATTTGTCAGGAACAAAAGAACCAATGAACCATATATTCCATACATTCCTATTGTTTTCAACTACCAAGAACATTAACACTTCACCAGCTGGGGAAAATACTACAATACTACTTATTAAAAGTTGCTAACAAATTATTTTAAATGATTTAATTTACACCACATTTAACTTATTTTGTTATCAAAACAAAAATATAAACACTGTCCTAGTACAAATTACACATGTGGCCAGCTTGTTTTGAGTGTAGTCCCATGTCACAGAACCATATTTAATAGTCAAAATTATGAGACACTGGAGCTCAATGTAAGCAAAAAATAATTAAGAGCAGTTTAATTGAGGGCTTACAATTATAGGGAAATAAAATACAGAGGACCTTTAGAGCAGAGGCGAATTACCACTTAGCAGAAATGTTGTAAAATAATTCTAGGCATAAGTCTTTCCCAAATCCAAGAATCCATGATTCTATGACAACTATCTCCTGGGAATCGATGGCTCACAATTCACTTTAAAAACTAATTATGCTACTTTGGTTCAGCTATATAAACTTCACAAACCTTTCAAGCCAAGGAATAATTTCAAAAATAAAATTGCTTTTTTGAAAAGCTCAGTATCAGTGAATCTTAATTTCCTATTCCTGAAGAAATAACCATAAGACAGGGTTTCTCAGCTGCAGCAGAACAGATATCTTTGACCAAATAATTATTTGTGAAGGCTGTCCTATGCACTGAAGGATGTTTAGCAGCATCACTGATCTTTACCTTCTAGATCCAACAGCCAAAAATGTTTTCTGACTTGCCAAATGTCCCCTGGTAGGCAAAATCACCCCTTCTGGTGAGAACTACTGGTGCTTTTTTCTTTCTTTTTAGGCACAGACAACTTACTACCTTTGGCTGGTTCTATTTATAATTTACTTACAAAAGGGAACTAGAGGACAGGTGTGACCACCTGTAATCCCAGCACTTTGGGAGGCCGAGGTGGGCGGATCACACGGTCCGGTGTTCGAGACCTTACCTCTACTAAAAATGCAAAAAATTAGCAGGGCATGGTGACAGGCGCCTGTAATCCCAGCTACTTGGGAGGCTGAGGCAGGAGAATCACTTGAACCCAGAAGGTGGAAATTGCAGTGAGCCAAGATCATGCCATTGCGCTCCAGCTTGGGTGACAGAGCAAGGCTCCGTCTCAAAAACAACAATAACAGCAGTAACAACAACAACAGGGAACTCGGTAGGAGTCAAACTTCCATGGCTCCTGCTTTACAAGCTGTGTACCTGCGGATTTTGGTTCAGAAACTTACCTGTAAAATTGGTTTCTTCTAAGAATTAAATGATGTAAAGCACATAAAAAGCTTAGCACCTGATAAATTAAATTAAGCCTACTATTTGGTACTAATTTTATACTTCATTCTGCGTATAGAAAAAGCAGTACAACTTGCATCATTCTGCGGTGCTCTCAAAAGGGAAACTAGTAGGCTATGTACCCTGAATAAACTGTTTTTGATGAAAATTTCCAACTACCTGAGAGAACTTAGAAAACCTTTTCAAGGCAAACGGTTTTCTCTTTGTCTCTCTCAATTATCAGAGATAAAGAGCTTCCAAATCTGCTCTCTGAATTCCATCACCCAACATTTCAACGGGAAAAACAGACAGGTTGGTGGTTGAAATCCTGAATATATAGAATCCCCCAAAAGAAAATTCATTTAATACCAGAGGTTTATTTGTCCATATGGGGGACATAAAAAAATACCAGAGGTGAGCTCACCAGGTCTTCTTCCAAATACAATTCACTTTGACTTACATACAAAATCCTGGGGTGGATTTTACAACTTAATCTGACCCTAAGTAATTGCTCTTTCTCCATTCAAAAGCAATCTCCTCCTCCTTTCCATATCTCACTTAAATGTGGGCGCCTCCATCCTTCCAAACACCCAGACTATAAAGTCTGAGTTGTTCCATATTCTTTATTTCCCTCTTCACACAGTAAGTCACAAAACTCTGTGGACAGTTGTTTGGAAAGGTCTCAAATCCCCACCTCTTTCCCTTCCATATCACTGTCAAAATGATGCCCCTGTAAAATAAGTCTCAGCCTGTCAATGATCAGCTTAAAATTCTCTATTTACTTCAGCCTGATTACAGCAAAGTCAGTCCAAACAGCCCAATATAACCTAAAGGTAGTACTATGACCTAAACTCGTACTGTGAAACCAACCTAGCTTTCCAGTTTTATCTTCAACTCTACTTCACCCCCAGCATCTTTCTTCTAACATCCCCTTTCCACACTTTTATGAGCCACTTATACCCAGAATCCCTAATGTGAATTATTAGCCCAGCATGAACCCAGTTACAGCACAATGAACGTGTCAAGCTGGCCTCGGAAATCGCAAAAGGTATGCAATTAAACTTAATTCACATTCCTGTGTGCGAAATGGAGAAACCCAGGGAAACAGCTACTAGAAGAGGGGACCTTATACCCACCCATTTGAGCTTGCCCTCCGAGGGCTAGTAGCTTTTGACGTGAACTGTCAAAAGCGAGGCCAAACCAACCTGGAAGCCGAGGAACAGGGTTGGCTTTCTGCACCGAGCCCTGTCTGGTACCAAACCCAACTGTCTTGAATCAGAGACGAACAGGACCAAAAGAGCTGAGTTTCGACCCAACCTAAGAAGCCTAAGGAGGCGCACAGTCCGTTAACCCTGCTCAACTCCACGCTCCTTGGAAAACGAAAACAAACTCTGGTTTCTCTTCAGCGTTCACCTCTCTGCGCCCAAACGGATCTGTGAGTCCAACTCTGTACCTTCATCATGAACCTTTCCCACTTGAACCCCGTCCGAGCCCAGCCCATCCTTTCAGCGCGCCGACTACCCCGTAGGTCATCCCAGCTCTGTCCCTTTGCCCTAGTTCGAGAGCGGAAAGGAACCTCTCCCTCTTTTCCCGTACCTGCCATGGGCACTCCCCTTCTTCGTACCGGGTCGTTCGGAACTCCTGTTCCAGCTTGATCTCCACACCACCTAGTTGCAACGTTCAACCCACGTTCCCCTCGGACTGCTCCTCCCCCACTCGCGTCTCCACTAGGAAGACGGCTTCCGGCTTGAGTCCGCGGCAAAAGAGTCCCCCTTCCTGCTGCACGCAGGGGCAGAAAGGACTGGGGCGCGGTAGGGAAAGTGAAGACGGGAGCACTTCCGGTCGCTTTCCGCAGAGGCGTGGCTGCTTGCTCTGCGGCGACAAGTAGGGGCGGGGCCGGCGACTGCTGAGCCCGCCCTGTGTGAGTGGCTGGGTTTGGGGAGGCGACGTTTCTGGAAGCTGCTGGAAAGCGCTCGAGTGGCGGAGGTGGCGCCAGCGGCCAGGGGGTGGGGCGTGATTAAAACTAGTGCGCGGCTGCTGCGGAGGGATTACGCTAAGGAAAGAGACTTGCCTACGCTCCGCTGTTTCCTGATCCGCGCGAGCGTGGTTGGGAACCGCTGGGCCCTGGAGTGACCCGCGGAGGTGGGAGAGGGAAGGGCTTCTCGAGCCGGCGTGGCTGCCATGGAGGCTTTCAGCCGGCTCGGCCTTAAGAACTCGGCCGCCCTGGGCATCCGTAGTCCGCTCTCCCAAAGCCTCGGTGGAGCCAAAGCTGCTACAGAGTGCATGTTCACAAAGGGTCATCACACACGGAGCTGCCCCTCCCTGTCTCCCTAGAGCCCACCTTCGAGCCAGGGGCTTTTCTACCAGGATTCTGGGGTGTTTCTCCTCCCTTCCTCCCTCCCAGATCTTCTCACGGTAAGGGGAGCAGCGAAAGCACAGGGACTTTGCATTCCACGACCCGTTCTGACTAGTCAGCAGCCGATCTGTCCCTGCTGCACTAATTCCAGCTGCCCTGCCTTGTTTTAACTTCAGAGAAAGGGGGAGTTCTCATTTGATAAGTTTAAGCCTCTGCTTTCGTAGGAAGGTCATGTGGCTTAAGGGACATCGTGACCGCTTGTGCTATTTCTGCATGTGCATTCTAAATCTTGGGGGCAGCATATTCCAGAAGTCCTTTTGGTCGATTGGTTCGGTGCTTTAGGATAACAATTTGTACTTTCTATTTCTTTACAGACTAACCACAATTGGCATTTTGTACTGTGAAGTTTTTAGTGGTCTAAAACTAAATGATTATGTTCTGGGCTAATGCTGATAATTTGGATACGGTGGTATGGAGGAAACCAGTATCGTGTAGAAGAAATTCTTTAGTAAAAAGGATTTTAGTTTTTGGTACTTCTGAATGCAAATGGCCAAGGAATCCAACAGTTTGTTGGGCTTTCTCCAGATAAAAATAGGCTGGTTAGTTGGTTTACCTTTTTCTGTTGTTTTACTAATGTATTTGTATATTTGAGATCTAGCTAGTTTTTAAAATGTATTGTAATTAAAATTTGAGAAAATAGTATTTTCTCGTAAAATAGCCAGAACTCAGAGGGTTTTCTTGCTCACCATTGCTATTTCCATTTTTAGAATGGAATACGCTATTTGTAAAAAAAAAAAAAAAAAAACTTGCTAAGTATTAACTTACAAATTGAACTAAACAATTGATTCTGTTAAAATGTAGCTAAAATTGTAAGACTGCAAAACAACATCACCGAACTGGATTATATTTTTAAAACATTGTTTCAAAAACATTGTCTGCCAAGTTGAATTTTAGTCTTTTAGTGTAAATTTGATTTTTTTCAGAAAAAAATTATTAGTAACAAACAAAGTGGAGGTGGGGCTTGAGATGTAAAGAGAAAGGAAGGGATTTTAATGTTTTATCTCCAGAGCTTTTTCCCCTTGGAAAAGGTAGTACAAGACTTTTAAGATAAAGGGGAGAACTTTGATATAGGAGATCAGCAGAGATTGACTAGAAAACCCCTTTCGTTTATATTATAGAGTAACGGTCCCAAGTTGAAAATACTGTATACATTTCTGCTTATTTCTGTATATTTGAAATGCTTTTGTCTACATACCCTGGTCCTAGAGAGGGCCCAGTACCTTCCAGTGAGACTAAAGCTCATTGCCTCCCTCCCCTTGTCAGCGATGTGGGACAGAAATTTTATTGACCTATTTCCAGTTAAATACTCACATGATTTAAAGGAAGAAAGCTTTTATTAAATTAATAACTAACAAACAGCTGCAATAGTTCAGTGCTGTACAATTAGAATTTTCTTTTTTTTCCATTCATGATGTCAGCTCTTGCACCCTCTGCTAAGTTAGGTTCCTTAACCACAATACAAGTGTTTGGTCCAAACCTGGGATATAAAAGCTACTTGCTATGATTCCTTTTTCTAGTCTCATCAAAAAGATGACAGTTGAAGCGATTGACTTTACTTTCTAGAAGCACCCTTATGAATACAATCTGTAATCCCACATCTCAATCTTAACATTCAGAAAGCACTGGAAACCTAAAACTTCTTAAGCTTAGCAGCAAAAGTCATTTGATAGCAAAATATGACCTGAACTATTGAGAAGCTGTATATAGTCTTTGTCCCATGTGTTTTGCTGAAACTATATTAGTATGTTTGATTATGGGGGCTGCCCTTGGTCCCTAGTATGTGGGGCGTTCTATAATGGTTTGTATATCTTGTAACATTTTAAAACTGTATGAAATTCTTATTTCTAAAACACACCCAACCCTTGGGTTTTAGTTAAGGAATTGTAAACCTGTATTAATGTTTTTGGCAACACACTTGTGCATATTTTAAAAAATTAAAGTAACAAGGTATTTTAGTTCTTTCAGTAAATTTAGATGTGTTGGGATAGAAAAAAAATGCATGTATCATATTGTGTGTCTGTCATATCATGCATCTATCATATTGTATACATTAAATGATAGAGGCATGCACAGCTTATTTGTAAGTGTAGCTGTATAGTGATCCAAACAAGAAGTTAGTAGTTTAAGGGCTTAAAGTTAGTTTATAGTTTAGGCTGTAAAATTTAGATTAAACATGACAACTTATAATGTAGCCCAAACTTGGCTCTGTTTTCCCCACAGAAAATGAGAAGATGGTATGGTAATAAAGTTGATCCCATCTATGGGATCTACTTTGTGACCTTACATAAGTCACTGAGTTTTTAAGGTCTCAATTTACAGATATATAAAATGAGAAGTTTAGAATAGATGAATCTCTTTTTTTTTTTGAGACGAAGTCTAGCTCCGTTGCCAGGCTGGAGTGCGGTGGCGTGATCTTGGCACACTGCAACCTCCACCTCCCGGGTTCAAGTGATTCTCCTGCCTTCAGCCTCCCTAGTAGCTGGGATTACAAGCATGCATCACCATGCCCAGCTAATTCTTGTATTTTTAGTAGCGATGAGGTTTCAGCATGTTGGCCAGGATGGTCTGGATCTCCTCACCTTATGATCCACCCACCTTGGCCTTTCAAAGTGCTGGGATTACAGGCATGAGCCACTGTGCCCAGCCCAGATGGATCTCTTAAGGACAGTTCCTTACGGTTCCAACATTCCATGTGCAGATATTTACTGTTAGGAGTACTGCTTATTTTAAGTTTTTCCTGCCAATGATATGATCCCATTTCATTTCAAACTGCTGTCTTGCTGATCTAAACTTGTAATTTTGTTTGTAGGTAACACATTCATTCACATGGTTCAAAATTCAAAAGGTATAAAAGGATACTCAGTGAAGTCTTCTTCCACATCTGTTTCTCAGCCATCTCATTCTCTGCCTAGGAAGCAACCAGCGCTACCAGTTTCTGGTATATTTTTCAGAAAAAATTTTATACATATATGAGCAAATAAATAAATATATATAATGTTTCTTCCCTCTTTCTGTATAAATGGTACATATCATGCATAGTGATTATGTACCTTTTTGGTTCACTTGCCTTAAAAGTTGTTCTTTATTATATAAGGTATTTCCTTATTCTTTTTATGGCTGCATAATATTCCATTTTAAAATGTACCATTATTTCATCAACCCTACCCTTTTGAACATCTAGATGTTGTTTTTTTTTTTTCAGATATTTATTAAAGTGTATTGTGCAATGAATAACTTTCTACGTACATCAGTCTCCACATATGTGAATATATTTATGCTCTAGCCACTGGCACAGCTGGGTCCTGTACTTTGACTTATGGTATAGAGATATGCCAGTATGGTATGAGATAAATCACATCACCTGAATGGCTGTTTCTGCATTTGACCCCTGATAGCATGTATACATACATATATATATACACCCATAGTATGCATATGCATATATAGATGAAACAAGTAGATTATGTATAGGGACTTTGTCCTAAACAAACAAACAAATAAATGTTTAAACACTAAAATCATGCCACTGAGCAAGATTTACAACAAGTGGCATATGAGAACTGCAACTGATTGTTATAACAACACTTTGTTCTTTCCAGCTCATTCTCATTCCAAGGCATGTACTCAATTAGTACTGTTAAGCTGATATTTTCCTTTAAATTTTTTTGCCAAGCGTGTATGGTTGAATTTGTGTAACATGCAACTTCTAGATATTCTCACTTTACCAGTAAGAAAACAAGGTCTAAGGCTAGGCATGGTGGCTCAAGCCTGTAATCCCAGCACTTCGGAAGGCTGAGACAGGCAGATCACTTGAGGTAAGGAGTTTGAGGGCATGGTGGCACATGCCTGCAATCTTAGCTACTCAGGAGGCTGAGGCATGAAAATGGCTTGAACTTGGGAGGTGAGACTGCAGTGACCCAAGATCATGCTTCTGAACTACAGCCTGGGCCACAGAGATGAGACTCTGTCAAAAAAAAAAAAAGGCCTAAAAGAAGTAAACAGTTTACTCAAATTTGTGTTAACAAGGTGGCTGACCTGGTACTAAAACCTACATCCTCTCTTTTCTAATCCAGGGCTTTTTCCAGTATATTCTCATAACTGGACATGAGATCTTGTAGTAGATTTGAGAATGCCCAGTAATTAGGAACTGCTTTAGGTACATTCACTCTACCTAGACTCTAGAGCAACGTAAAGTTAAGAAAGCAGCAGAGCATTTTTCCAGTGACAAAATAACGTCCTGTAAGTATTTGTTGAAGTAATCATACAACATGCTGATTAGCAATCAGGAAGCCTCCAAATCAAAAAGTAAATGCATATGATGAAACATTCTTTCCTAAATGGGATATTCGTTGTCACTTCAAGATGAATTGATCAGTCATAAGTACTGGAAGGAATTTAGGATTATTTGTAAATAGGTAGTCTTACATTCCCCAGATTCATGCCATCATTTAATTTAGCCAGGAAATTTAAAATAATTATCACCAGAAAAGGAGAAGTGGTGGTAGAAACAATAGCAAAAGAAAATACAGTGGCTCATGCCTGTAATCCCAGCACTTTGGGAGGCCAAGGCGGGTAGATCATGAGGTCAGGAGTTCAAGACCACCCTGGCCAACATAGTAAAACCCTATCTCTACTAAAATATATATATATATATATATATATATACACACACACACACACACACACACACATATATATATATATATATATATATATGTACACATACACACACACACACACACACACAAATTAGCCGGGCATGGTGATGCATCCCTGTAGTCCTAGCTACTAGGGAGGCTGAGGCAGGAGAACCCAGGAGATGGAGGTTGCAGTGAGCCAAGATCGCGCCACTGCACTCCAGCTTGGGCAATAGAGAATTGAAATAGAAAGTTGGAGGATATGCTTTAGTACACTGTATTCACATGGAAGGTTGGAGGATATGCTGTAGTAACTGTATTCGCTTGAAGCTGGCATTGCAGCACATGACCCTCCCCTTTAGGACTTCAGCTGCCTGCTGACAATGCTAGTCCCCTTCTCTTTACATAACTGACTCTTCTCCTCCTCGGAGTCTTAGCACAAGTGTCTTGTGTCAAGCTTGTCCACCCTGTTTGAGGAGCCCTCTATCCTCTACCCCGACTCTACTTCTTCCTTACCACCTGTTTTTTTTCTCATAGTATATCTATGTGTGTGTATATATATATGCATGTGTGTATTCGTATGTATATATGTGTATGTATGGACACATATATGTGTATTTATATATGCATATAAACATATACGTATATGTGTATGTGTAAACACACATGTTTTTGGCTCCATGCTAGGTTGTGAGATCTATGAAGGCAAGGACTACATCTGTTTGGTTTATCATCGTATGTATAGTACCTAGTACATAGTGTATATTTGTTGATTAATTACCTTGGTGGCTCCCAATTTTCAATTTACATGACTGACCAAACCTACTTTTAGAACAGAATGTATTAAACAGCCTAGTTCCTTCATATTTGTTAGTTCAGATGTATGCATAAGTGATACGTTTATCTTATTGAGAAAGCTATTAACCTATCAATGGCTTTTTTTTTTTTTTAACATTTACTGGTTTTTTTTTTTTTTTTT